TACTCCGCACAATGATAACGCCACTACTGGTTCCTTTCTCAAACTCCAAGCAACTAGTGCACCTTCTAACATAAACACATATCCTACTATGGACTTTTGATCCTCAACATCACTACACCAACTTGAATCAGTGTATCCAATTAAGTTGCACTCTTTTCCTTTATTAGTTATATGGAATAAAATGTCATAGTCAAGAGTTCCTTTCAGATACCTCAATATCCTCTTTGTCGCTGCTAGGTGTGATACCTTTGGCTTCTGCATGAATCAACTTACCATACCTACACTGTATGCTAAGTCAGACCTTGTGTGACAAAGGTATCTCAATGACCCAATAAGTCTTTTGTATTGGGTTGGGTCGACATAACCTTCATCTGCATCTTTTGACAGTTGTAGTCTTGGTTCTGAAGGTGTCGAATTCGAGTTGCATTCTTTCATCTAAAATCTCTTGAGAATTTCTCATGCATATCTTCTTTTATGCATCATCAAACCTCTATTGATCTTGTAGAATTCGATGCCAAGTAAATATGAAATGTCACCCAAATCAGATACTTTGAATTCCTTGATGAGATCATCTTTGATGTCTTTGATCTCACTTTTACAGCTACCTTTTATCAGCAAATCATCGATATAGAGACATACTATAAACAATTCACTACTGCTTCTTATTACATATGCTCCATGCTGAGTTATGCACTTCACAAATTCATTCTTCCTTAAAAAGCTATCTATTTTCTTATTCTAAGCTCTTGGAGCTTTCTTCAATCCATACAGGGCTAAATGTAGCATGTACACATTTCTCTCTTTGCCATGTTTCACAAACCCAACTGGTTGTTTAACATAAACTTCTTTATCTAAGGATTCATTCAGGAATGCACATTTCCATCAGACATATGTGCCAACTGTTCATTTTTACTAGACCAATAACCAACCTGATTGTTTCGATCCTAGCAACAGGTGCAAAGACTTCATCGAAGTTTAATCCTTCTTTCTGTAGAAATCATTTCGCCACAAGCCTTGCTTTGTGTCGAGTTACTTCCCCTTTGGAATTCATGTTCACTTTGCATACCCACTTGACATCAACTGCCTTCTTGCCTTGAGGAAATTCGACAAGCGACCAGGTGTTATTGTCTTCGACGAACTTTAATTCTTTGTTCATTGCTTTCACCCACTTCGAATCTTTCAATGCTTCAATTGTATTAACAGATTTGACATCTGCATAGAAAGCATAATGTACCAGCTTATCTTTATCATCAACTACATCATCTGATGTAATTATAAAATCTTGCAACCTTGTAGGCATGTGTCTTGTTCTTCAAGGTCTGCTTGTACTTGGTTGATCTCTAACTTCTTCCTCTTGTCTAACTTCCTCTTGTCGAGCTTCTCTTTCGACTTGAGTTTCTGGTTCTTCAAGTAAGATTCTCATTGAATCATTCATCACATTTCCAGTCCAATCCCATTCTTTAAGCTCATCTATGATCACATCCCTGCTGATCATAATCTACTTGTGCAATGAGTCGAACAACTTGTAACCTCCTATTGAATGATATCAAATTAGGATCATTTGACTCGACTTTTCATCAAGTTTTCTTCTCAGCTAATCTGGAACACGTCTATATGCAATAGATCCAAATACCTTCAGATGACTCAAGCTAAGAATTACACCAGACCAACATTCTTCTGGAGTAATTCCTTCTAGCTTCTTCGTTCAACGTCTGTTTAATATATATGTTGCAGTCGACACATTTTTACCGCAAAACTCTTTAGGTAAATGCTTTCCTTTACACATATTTCTCACCATATTCATGATGGTTCGATTCTTCCTTTCTGTAGTTCCATTATGCTATGGAGTGTAGGGTGACATAACCACATTCACAATCCATTATTTTTCACATAATTTGTCGAAGTCCTTCAACACATACTCTCCACCACCATCATTTCTCAAAAATTTGAGCTTTCGACCACTTTGTCTTTCGACCATAGACTTAAACTTGACAAATACCTCAATCACTTCACTTTTCTTCTTGATCAGGTAAGTCCATAGTTTTTGACTTAAATCATATATGAATGTAACAAAGTATTTGTCACCTCCAATTAAATCCACCTGAATTGGTCCACATATATCATAATATATGACTTCGAGAATAACCTTCAACTTTCTTCCTGCATCCTTGCTGAAGCTATTCTTGTGTTGCTTCGCCTGCACACATTCCTCACACACTTTATTTGGATTGTCGATTTCTGGCAGTCCTGAAACCATATTTCTTATTTTCAAATATATGGTGTCTCTAAAGTTGAGATGACCTAGTCGATAGGGCCATATCCATTCATCTCTGGTAGCTGCAATTGAAAGGAACTTGTGCTCCATCACATTAAGTTCAATCATAAAGGTTCTATTTTAAGACATAGGAGCCTTCAAGATTAATCTTCCATTTACGTTGACGACTCTCATCATCTTGTCTTTGATCGACACTTTATATTTCTTTTCGACCAACTGCCCTATACCGAGTAATTGCTCTTCATGCTTGGTATGTACAACACATTGGAAATTATTGACCTCCTACCATCTTTCCTCATAATCATAACACAATCAATACCTTTAGTTGCTAGGGCATTGTCATTTGCAAATTTCACCATGTTCTTCATCGAGGATTTTATATTGACAAACCAATCTTTTCTTCCAGACATGTGTGATGAGCATCCTGAATCCAAGTACCATTGGTTATTTAATTTGTCTTCATCCCTTGTTGTAACCATCATCAACATCTCTTCTTCTTCATACTTTGCAAACTTCACATCACTTTCTGGATTCTTTCGCTTTTCTGGACAATCACTAGAATAATGACCATACTTATGACAATTGTAACATTGAATGTGACTCTTGTCAGGTTTTCGACCACCACCTCTTCCTCTATTTACAACACCACCTTTTTAGTTGCCTTGGTATGGTCTTCTCTGATTCAACACATTTTCTTTGTGTTAGTTTCCTCTACTAGTCGAATTGTTGTAGCCACCTCTACCTTTTTTTCCGAACCACTTTCCTTTGCCTTTCTTATCTTTTGCTGATTGAGCCTATAGAGCTACATCACTCTTCGACTTGCCTGCAACTCTTTCAGCCATTCTTTATTCATGATATTTAAGCGTCCCTTGAAGCTCTTCTTTTGACAAAGTTGACATATTCTTCGACTCTTCTATGGCAACTACCTCATGATTGAACTTCAGAGCCAAAGATCTCAAGATCTTTAAAACAATTGCTCTTGTTATTAACGTCTCTCCACAAGTCTTGATTTGATTAACTAGTTTCGTAACCTGAGTGAAGAAATTAGATATGTTGTTGTTATCTTCCATTTGAAGCAATTCATATGTTCTTTTGTGAGTTTGTAACCTCACCTCTTTCACCTTTTCTGTACCTCCAAAAGATTTCTTAAGAATCTCCCAGACTTCTTTTGCAGATTCTACATCACTAATCGTTTCGAAATTGTCTAGGGTGACACATTGATGAATTATAAAGAGAGCTTTATAATTCTTCTTCTTCAATTCTATGTATTCTTCCTCTTCATTTTCTGAAGCGTATTCATTAAGTGGTTCTAATCCATATTTTACAAGTTCCTAGACCTTGAAAATAGAATATAACCTTCACCTCCTTGCACCAATTCTCATAGTTATCACCTTTAAGAATCAGAAGATTTGATGGAAAATTTTCGCTTGCATAATTCATCGCCAATGATTTTCTTCTTCTTCCCTTGATCGCTCAACCAAAGCTCTTGATACCAGATGTTAGAAATCCACCAATTTCTATGATGAATTTCTATCAATCTTGATGAACAAGATTATTATTACCATACAATAACGATGAAAAATATGAAAGAAAGAAAGACAATGATTTTCTGCAGAGTTTCTCTCTGCCCACAAACTGTGGAAAAACTTCTTATTCACTTCCAACTGCAAATTCTGTGAATATAACTTAATTACAAAAAATAAGGGTTACTCCCACTATTTATAGATTTAGGTTAGCTTGCTCTCTAAGCCAAAACCCAAAACTCTAAAAGCTCAAAATATGTATTTTGGAACTAAATTAAATCTATCTATTTTAGACCTAAATCAAATCTATCTATTTTAGATCTAAATCAAATATGTGTGTAATAAACCGCTTCCACACTTCGACACAATCTTTTCGACACTTTCTTATTTTCTGTCGAGCATACTACTTCAACACAAGAAATTATACTTTCAACAACCAACAGTCAGTAAGATCAACCCTCTTTAAAAAACTCAAAAATATTCTTAAAATAATATGGAAGTTAATTTACACCATAATATAATCAAAATACTCTGTAAATAAGTCAATATGTTTTCAACTTATGATAGTGTGTGTATTTTATAATTTAATGAATAATATGAAAGTTAATTTTTAGATTAATCTTTGGATACATTTTAATCCTATGATAGTGTGTTTATTTTATAATTGAATGAATACTTCTCAAGTTACCTTTCGTATTACCCCTAAGAATAGTAAGTTTCTCTCATGTACAGTAAATTTGTTAATAAATTTTCCTCTTAGACAAGTTGAACTTCTAGGATTTCTTGGACGACACTAAAGGGACACAAGCCTCTGAAAAGACGATACCAGAGGCACGTAATTTCAAGAAGATGAGATGATGATTCTGCACCAAATAAAATGACGCCAACACTTGAACACGATGTATTATTTTTTTTATCTATTTATTATTTTTAAAAAAAAATGAAATTTCAACAATAAAATTATTTGCAAAAAAAAATTTCTTAACTTTTTTTTAAAAGCAAATTTTATTGTACAACAAATGCATCACATCACATGGTACCCATGTCATCATGTAGTATTTTGATTTTTTTAAGATAATTTTTTTTGTTGCGTGACTCTATCTCTTTCCTCGCCAAAAGCATGTAGCATATTTTTTTTGCAATATATATACACTTTCTCAATAGCTTTCAAACCCTTGTCAAACCCATTTCCTCTTACAAAAATGCCGAAAGATAGAACCATCGGTATAGCATTGGATTTCTCCAAAAGCAGCAAGAATGCTCTAAAATGGGCACTTGAAAATTTAGCTGACAAAGGTGACAACATTTACATCATCCACATCAGCCAAGAGAGTCTTGATGAATCTCGCAATCAGCTCTGGTCCAAATCCGGTTCTCGTAAGCACTGTTGATTTGAGCTTGCAATGTTTTTTGTTTTTTCTGATCTGATCTTATATAGTCTAATTTGTTGTGAAGCTTTGATTCCTTTGAAAGAGTTCAGAGAACCTGAGATCATGAAAAAGTATGGTGTTCAAATTGATATTGAGGTTCTTGATTTGCTTGACACTTTTTCAAGACAAAAAGAGGTTTTTTTTTTTCTTTTTTTTTTCTGTCTCTTTCTATATTATTTTCTGCATTTGAATTTTTAGGAGATTTAATTGTTTTGATGATGATTGATTTTTAGGTGAATATTGTTTCAAAAGTGTATTGGGGTGATGCAAGAGAGAAACTTCTTGATGCTGTTGAAGATCTGAAGCTGGATTCTCTTGTTATGGGAAGCAGGGGTCTCAGCACAATTCAAAGGTTCAATTTTTTTTAGCCCTAATTTTAAATCTCCGATTTTAATGTTTCTTTTTGATATTTTTTGTTGATCTGGTATGTATTATTCTAAAGTGATGTTTATAGAAAATGAATTACATCATGTAGAGTTTGTTTTGGAATGCAAGGTGGTGGTGAGTTTAAAGTAAAATACCGAAGATTAAGCTTATAAAATTAGCTTTAAACAATCTCGACTATTAATTGAGATGGGAAATTGATATCTGTAGCACCGACACTTTTGAACAAAGTCGACACGAACACATGCGATTACGTTAATTTTATTTGTTTTTTCAAATTATTAGTGTCGACGTGTTAGTGATGGTGTTGTGTTTGTGTCACTGTCAGTGCTTTATAGGGATTGCGTTCAATTAATTTGTTTTTTCAAATTAAATATATCTCAATTCAACGAGATGTTGGATTCACCCTTTCATGACAAGATTCTAATCTTACAAATCAATGTTTTAAAAACCAAACCAAACTAGACAGAATCCAGCCGATTAAATCTGTAACCGGCATTGTCTAGTGTTCCATAATTTGTTCTTCATAGTTTGAGTAGTTCAAAACAATTGAATTTTGACCTTGTGATCATGCTGCTCCGACGTCTTGTTCAGTTTTTAAAACATTGCTCTGAATGAATAAATTATTATCATATACTTGTTGTGACGTAATTTCTGTCTGATTTTATTGAAACTTGAATCTCATAAGCATGTCTCTTTGTGATCTTACTAATAAAAAAAACAGGATCATAATGGGAAGTGTAAGCAACTTTGTGATGACTAATGCTCCTTGCCCTGTGACTATTGTCAAGGATAATATCCGCACCAGCAGCAAGTAAAGATGAACAATTTGTGATGGCATTCAAATATGGAATGTTGTGTTTCTTCTTGCATTGTACTTGATCTCTTGTAGATCATCTTCTGTTTCCTTATTTCAGATTATACATTATGTTATGACTTATATCTATCTGCTTTACTTCATTGAAAGCATAATAATGTAGTTTTAGTTTTATCATCCATAAATTGTTATCCATATTGTGCCATAAGTTATATTACAGGTTTATGCCTAAACAGAAGCACAAATTGAAATTGATACGGTGTGCCTTTTCTTTTGACAATGGGAACTTGAAAGGGAGCAAGACTTGTATGGTCACATACCTAAATAATTGAAAGGCTTGCTCCTTGAAAGGAACTAGTGCTTTTTTTTTAGCATGAGTGTCAGATTGTGCACATATGTTTTTGGCTAAGTTGACAGATTTATGCACATGGTGGAGCCACACTATCATGTGAGCCCATTAGGTTACAGAAAAGTTTGAAAAATCATTACATGTTCACATAGGAGCTCTTTAGAAACACAACTATTATGAGTTCTCTGTCTCAAAAAACAATAATATTGTGATTCCTCTAACACGACAACTTTTGCTATGAACTTACTTTAATAGGTGATCTACGAATCAATGTGTAACAGTATATTATGTAGGGTTTTAATTAATTTTTTTTTTGTTAAGTAGCCCGCGGCTAGAATTTTCTCTTTAAAACCAAATAAATGGGATGTCCGGGTTCACATTTGCGCCTCTGCATTGGATGTCTTTGCATGCCTATCTATTGCTACCATCTGAGCTGGATTAACCAAACTAATTAATAGTTTTCGATGACCAACATCATAGTGTGGTTCACTCTAAACATTTCTTTTAGAGAATTTTTTAATGTACCCTAAATGTTTTTTAGACAGCGGTGTGAATATCCAAATATGTCATCAAGAATTAGAAATGTATTTTCGGTGTGCACCATATTATATGGAGAACAAAAATATACAAATAGAATGTACATTTTCGTTTCTCAAATCGATGTTGTATTTCTAGTTACACTTTAAATGAATTAAATAGTTACACTGTAAGAAGTCACACCCTATCACGTTGATATGATTCAAAAATGCAACACCGGTTCTAAACCGTAGGTGTATTTTCAGTTTGTATTTTGACATATACTTGTGTTAGCTCTTCCCCTTTCTCATTTGTTGTAAACACAAATACAAAACACAAAACCTCCTAAAATCCCATTACCTCTTCCCCTTTCTCATTTGTTGTAAACACATACAAAACACAAAACCTCCTAAAATCCCATTGTTCCAAAATACTCATTGTTTTAAAATCTATCAATTTATCGCAACACATAAGAAAATCATCAGACATAATAGGAATCAACCAAGGAGAATAATCAATTATAACAGTTTTTGAGCATTATTGAGTTTTTTTTTAATTTTACATACAAATTGTGTTTTAGGGTAGTAAAATGTAGTTTTTTTTAGTTCTTGCAGTGTTTAAAGTCAACACGGAAGTGTTAACCATGTCTTTTTGACGATCAATAACTGTTTTTTTGTCCCCATCGAGGATCAGCTTCGCCATTGACGAACCTGTTAAGTTGCAGGTCAACCGGAAGTGTATTTTCAATTTTGTTCTTGGCTAAAATCGGAAGTATATTTTCGATTATGCATCAGACAGTTTTCCCCTTTTTTGTACAAGAGTGTTATTGTTTAATACTTGTTTCGTTTATTCTACAGGTATTATGGATGAGAGACCATCCAGATTGCGACACGAGAGACTTTCACAACAATGCTTTCGTTCGTAGGAAAAGGATTCATGCTTTTCAGGCTCCTAGATAGACTGTGCCGGATGCGCCCATTGTCGATGTATTTCTACTTCCACTCTGTCGACCAACAAGCGAGAGTCTCCTGTCCATCCATCTCCGCCTCTGTCATACCGCAGACGTACGTCCTCACCGCAAGTATCCAGACCAGGAGAGACATCTGGTTCTCACCCATAAACTACACCACATTCAGTCCGTACCTCTCCACCTCCTTCCTCCCACGGACGCCCTATGGTCTTTGAGACAACAAAGACTTCTTCTTCCCAGCCGACACCTGCTCTCACCCAGCCTACATCGGTTCCCACCCAGCAGACACTAGAGGCCACCCAGTCTGCACTGGCGCCCCATCCACAACTTGTATCAGAGGCAGCACCAGAGGCGCCTCAGGGTTTTGGAGGATGACCTTCTGAGTTGTCATTAATGTCATTATATTCCTACCATGTTGCCAGATAATTATGGAATTGAGAGGTAAATATTTCATTTAACAATTGTTACGTATTGTGTATTTTTTGCTAAGTATTGTGTTCATTTAAGTCTTGGGTGTTTATCTATGCATGCGGGACCGCAATCCACTCAAGATAATTAACCTTTCTAGGAAGATCAGTCGCCTGGTACCACCCGCCGAGCCATGATTCTAGGAGCTGTTGCACATCATTAGGCTGCGTGATTTGGTCTTATATGGATATACTACCATTAATCATGGTATGACTAACGCTTTTGTTGAGAGATGGCATCACGAGACATCGTCGTGCCACCTATCACATGGTGATATGACAATCACACTGGACAATATCGCGTGTATATTGCACCTTCCGATTAGAGGGAAGTTTTTAGATCATGAGAGGTGCACCAAAGAAGAGGCGATGGACATGTTGGTGGAGTACTTAGGAGTTACTCCATAGAGGGTTATGGCTGAGATCGACAAAACCCGTGGGTGTCATGTCAGATTTAGCTACTTGCAGAATGTGTTCACAACTGAGCTAGGGCGTGCACAACATGCTGATGGTGACGATCAACAGGTAGCCCAACACTGAGCACGTGCTATGAGGGCATATCTTTTATATATGATTAACATGCAGATTTTTGTGGACACTAGTGCCACTTACACTAATATCATGTACCTGCGGTTCTTTGACGATTTTTAGCGGATCATTGAGTGGAACTAGGAGGCAGCTTGTTTGGTTTATTTGTACCAGAAGTTGTCCGAAGGAATTAAGTGGAATACAAAGCAGATGACAGATAACATTGCACTTTTGAAGGTAACATTTCTTATTCTTATGTTATTTTTGTCTTCTTATGTAAATTACTTTGATGTCGTTACTTACTAATGACGGTAACATTTCAGGCCTGGATCCTACAACTTCCCTCACATATCCAGACGGTCACTTGAGCCTACATATACTGAGGTTCAGCCACGTGCTGCTTCATTCGATCCACTCCGAGGAAACCAGACGACAGAGCCATTCAGGATGTATATAGACCGTCTGGCCTATGAAGATATATGCTTCCATGCATACGAGGCTCACCGCGAGATGGTTCCCTTTGACGATATTGTGTTATTCACTGGATGGTTGGCATGCGGGTCTCGCAAGAAGGCTGCTTATTTTCCTGAATGCATGATGCAGAAATTTGGATACATGCAACACATTCTCATACCACCCTATGAGTGTGCCCCTCCCATGGTGAAACAGAGGGATATGAATGACATATTTGATGATTATCTTAATCATCTCGTGCCAGATGAGGCCCAAAATACCATACCACCAAAAGATTGGAGCTATGAGGATGGATATATCTTATGGTTCTTCAAGGTGTCACATCCATATCTGGTACAGGAGACTCCAGGTAACCCACCTAGACCAGCATATGCAGAGCTTTTAGAGGAGGAGCAGGCTAGGGTTGATCATACTCATGATGTGTTGCCTAGGTGCCGTCGTGTCATAGAGATTGCGCAGACGAGTATTGATGGAGATCTGCTTCCTGGTGGATCTGATGTTAGAGGTGTTCTAGAAGCCATCACGGTGGAGGTTGGGGAGGCTCTGTGTTATAGACGGTAGTAGAGGAATGTCGCGAATATCACGGGCCGACTTATTATCCACCATACTCAGTAGTCTGATAGTTTTAGATGCATTTTGTTTATAGTACTATTATGTTTTTCATATTTTGAATTATTTGGATAACACTTTGAGGAATATTTTGGAACATAATATTTATGAGAATTTGTACGTATTTTGTGATTACTTCATATTTAATTGAAATCGTATATTACTACATATTTTATAAATGTACCAAAACCTGCATAATAATATGGTCTGAACTGTCTATACAAGAATCAGAAATGCATGTCTGGTACAAAACCGTAGTTGCATTTTTAGTTTCAAAAATGATTTTTTTTTTAAAAAGGTGCGCCCCAGAAATGCACTTCCGAGGGAATTTTTGGTTATTAGTAGGATTTTTCCCCCTATCTAGGGCGCCATAAGAAATTCTCTTCTTTTATTAGTGACACTGAACATGTATATTTCTCGGTTATCAAGTCTTATTTAGTTTTGAATGATTCTAATACTCCGACGACCTTCGTGGACTTCAACTATCTTGCATTTAGGTATATTTGCACACACCTAACCTTCGATTGACATAAGGAACACTGTCTAACTCAATTTCAACTAGTATTATTTGTTTTGAGGTGTAAGCTAATGCTCAGTGTGTTGCTTTCTCTGTTAGCTTTAATATGTGAGATGATGTGTCGTAAACACTAATTAATAGATGTGAATAAGGTAAGAGATTATCTCCCGTGAAATTATCACTTGAGAATGTGCAGTGTGTATCAAAACCCTTCGTTCTTAAAAAAAAGTGGTGCAATAACATTTGTGGCTGAGATTCCACTGCAGAACAAATTCCATGCAGAGAATCCTCACCCATGTGAATAATGTCATCTTGTGCTATATGTTATACCCTAATTTTCCCCATAAGATTCCTCTATCATCTCATATAAACCCAATCATATCAAGATCACACTAGGGTTTGGTTCTTCTCTATATCTCTAGGTTTGCTCATAAGGGATCACCAAGAACCTTGATTTGTATATCATGATCATATATGTCTTGTGTTTATTAACTTTCAACTAACAAATATAATGAATGTTTTCTCTATAAATGCTGGTACTATAGGTGATGGCACAACATATTTCATCAGG